CACACACACATCGTGATTGTAACTGACTCAGAAAGAATGATGGGGAAGATCAGGACAGGCACGCTTCGTGTAAAGTGGCATGCTTCGCTGCGGAGGACACGGATGAGGAGTATTGTCTGGATTTTTTTCACCAGGTAACGCCGGTGTGTTGGGAAATGAACAGGCGGACAGACTGGCTGGCTCTGCACAACTTGGTGGAAAACTGATACATGATAAAACAGACACGGTTAGGGCCTTGTGGGAGAGCGTGTACAGTTCGGAGGAGCAGATGGATCACCACAGTCTAGTGAGATTAATGCAGGGGGGAGTGACGAGAGGTTCCGGCAGATGTTCAAGGCTCAAAGGAAAGGCAAGACGGACGTTTAATCAGAATGCTACTGGCACCATTAGTATGGGAACTCTTCGCTGGCTGCTGAAGATGGGGCCGGAGCGCTTATGGGAATGCCCCGATTGCTGTGATGTCGGTTCTTGAATCAAATCAAATCAAATCATTAATTACATTTTGCCGCGGTAAAGTTTTCGGTTTCTTCTGCACAAAGCCACATGAAACGAACTGTGGACATTTGTATTATTACATGTATTATTAATTATATTATTATGACAATGCAGTTGGCGTGACAATGCTAACGTTCATTTATAGTTCAAACAACAATTTGGAAATACGTGTATTTCAATTAAAAGTGAATATCATTTAATCATTACAAAAAATTGTAGTACATTTTACATTAAAATGGTTTATAACACTGTTTCATCTATATTACCGCATGCTAGGGCCTAGACGTAACGGTCTTAGAGTGTATTGAATGTACACTGACATTTTCTCAGTTGTGGTGTGTTAATAATCTTCCCACACTTGGCTCAGGCACGTCCGACATGAGCTATTAATAGCTAAAGTAAGACGTGGCTCGGGCCACTGGCCCGCGACGATCCCCATTTTCAACATTTTTGGCCCGCCAGTAAACTTAGCTGAATAGCCTTGATGCACGTCCGGCTGTATATGCCTTGATGTAGGGCACGGCCACCTCTAGGAATAAACTCACAGGGAGCAAGTACAGCAGGGATCTACCAGTCATCAGTAGAAGTTATCCTCGTCGACAAGTGTTTCGGCCCACGATTCTCCTAGACACTTTCGGAGGTGGGCCCACCTGAGTTCATGAAGCTCAGGGCTGGTACCCTGCTGCACGAGATTACCGGATGGTGTTTTTCTTTCGGATAGGGACAAGACGACTTGGTGATTTGCAGAAGGTACTGTGAGATAAGAAGTCGTTGCGGCAGCCTAATTAGAACAGTCAGCATGCCTGGACGACCGAGCGACAAGCTTACGTTTGGTTTACCGGACACATGTTGGACTTTTGTTAGCAGGTGGCAGAGGAACACTGGCAGATAATTCGGACACGATGGACTTTCAAAGGGTGAGAAACCCTTTTCCACTAGAAACCTCGACGGTCGGTTTGAGTGTATCCCATTATCTCCTTCAATTTTAGTGCGTTCTGCGCAGATTCAATCGCATCGAGGACCCTCCACTTCTGGCCAGTCTTTAGAGCGGGCTGGACAGCGATGACATTTGGGTCTGAAGACTCGCGCAAGAGCATGGCGAGTCTTACCTTGCCAACTTTAAACTCTGTTATCGATTTGAACGGGAGTACCAGCTTAGCCTGCTTGCAATACAGAGCCACGTCGGTCAGACAAGGCGGTGGGCCAATCCACTTTCTTAAGGTTGTGTTGATTTTCCTCTCCATGGTTTCCACTGCAGTCATCGTCACCTCGTAGACTAACAATGGCCAGAGGAGCTTCGGAATCAACATGAATTGGAGACACCAAACCTTGAACTTCCCGACCAGCCTGCAACGCTCGATCGCGAGCAGGCCTGTAGCCAGTGACTCGTGTATTCGCCGGACCTCTGCTCTATCAGATAACTTCGAATCGTAAACGCGACCAAGGCTCTTCACCGGTTCCTCCAGAACCGTAGGGATCTTGTTCCTTGCCACCGTAAAACTGGTTGCCGACACCTTGCCCTTAAGGATAGACAGACTCCTCGACTTCTGCGGTTTGAACTGCATACCGCTCCATTGGACCACTGCGTCCAATCTTTTCAGGATCATGCGGGCAGACTCCTCGCTGCTCGTTATAATAGTCGTGTCATCCATAAATGCGCGTAATGGCGGCATCCAGTGATCCCCTATTTGAAGGCCCTGTCCGTAGCCGGCCGCCCCGTCTAACATGATCTGCATGGCCATGACAAACAGTACTGGTGAGATCGTACAGACCCATAGCTATCCCAATCTGCAGCTCAGACCATCTCGTGGTAAACGTAGAGGTAGAGAAGCGCAAAGTGTGTAATAAAAGTTGATGGTGTTATTTTAGGACAAGTACAGAAATTTAAGTATCTAGGCACATGGATAACATCAGATGGAAGATGCATAACTGAGATAAGAAATAGAATAGGACAGGCAAAAACTGCATTTAAAAAAATGAAAAACATCTTGTGCAATATATCCTTGTCATTGAGTGTTAGAAAAAGAATTCTTGCTTGCTACATACATCCAGTTTTAACATATAGCTGTGAATCCTGGACAATCGGTAGGCAGGCCAAACAATTTCTGGAGGCCGCGGAGATGTGGTTTTACAGAAGAATGCTTAGAATACCTTGGACAGCCAAAAAGAGCAACCAAGAGGTTTTGAAAGAGGCGGGAGCCCGAAGACAACTTATCACAGACATCAGAAGGAGACAGTCATCATTTTTCGGCCCTGTTATGAGAAGAGGGAAAATAGAACATGTTGTGACCACTGGAAAGATAAGTGGAAGGAGAGATAGAGGAAGACAACAAGAGAAGATACTTGACAGTCTTGTTGCATGGCATGGAGGTGTGTTGGCACACGAATTGATACATGCTGCAGGAGATCGCAGATTATGGAGAGGCATGATCACCCACGCCAGTCGGCAAGGCACGCCTCTGATGATGATGATGATGCAGCAACATGCAGTACCGGCACTTTTTTTTAAAATGTTGCTTTAACAGGCACTTTGTGGTTAGTGCTGGCATCTAATTTATCCCTAATTTATCTTCAAAATGATTTTTAAAAAATACGTTGCAAATTAATGAAAATGTAGTTTGTGTATAAATCAACTGGATAAACACAGTGAACACATACCAGTCCCTTGGAGTTGCACAAAAACGGGAATTTCCATTAATCTGGATAGCCTTATATAGTTGGCCATGGCACAAACATTGTAGTTTTGTTAAAAACCAGAACAGGGCAATAAGAAAAATGAAGAAAAGAAACAGAGTACCTGAAAACATGCACTTTCAGCAAGACATTAGACACCTTCACACGGGCTTAAAAACCTATCAGCATTATAAATTTGAAAAAAAAAAGACACAAACAATAGATTGCACAATTTATTGCCTGGCATATTTCGCTCTTTCTCCCCAGATACATACTACAGTAGCAATTACATAGATAAAGTAGATAAATGAATCCTTTATAACTGAAGTACAAATTCAACAATTATCAAACAGAAGTGCCTGTTTTTCCAGGGCAGTCTCAGTGTTAGAACCATATCTTTCTGTATACAGAGTTCATTGTTATACATGTTGAAGAGGTCTTCCAGTTACTTTTGATTTTACTTTTCCCAAATATAAGAGGTGAGGGTAGATACACAATGTATGCTTTGGTAAATATATGTAACCCTGATAATCTAAAATAAACTAGGTCACATCATAGTTTACCACAAGTAGCAACCATATCTCTTCTTCATAACTGTTAATCTTATAACTCAGAATAACTGGAAAGATTAACTAAGTCAACAAAAGCTTAAACAAAAAACCGCTGAATGTGTCGGCAAAAAGACGTAAATATCACAATTCTGATGAACAAAGAAATAAAACTCACAATAAAGTACCAATTTAACAACACTGATCAACTAAGTTGTCACGAACAATTCAGCATAAAGCTTTTACTTCATCACTTAGATTCAGACAGCCTGTCACAAACAATTCAGCATAAAGCTTTTACTTCATCACTTAGATTCAGACAGCCTGTCACAAACAATTCAGCATAAAGCTTTTACTTCATCACTTAGATTCAGACAGCCTGTCACAAACAATTCAGCATAAAGCTTTTACTTCATCACTTAGATTCAAACAGCCCGTCACAAACAATTCAGCATAAAGCTTTTACTTCATCACTTAGATTCAAACAGCGCGTCACAAACAATTCAGCATAAAGCTTTTACTTCATCACTTAGATTCAGACAGCCATAAACATCATAATCACTAATATCCCATTTATCCTATCCCCACATACAGAATTGTAAAATTCACAAATGATAATATCTGTCAGATGGAAGACTTAATTGTTCGTCCCAACATCTTCATGTGGGTCACCGGAGTCCACTGTAGTAGAAACAAGAAAGACCCACCGCCTCCTAAAAACGAAAAGCATATTGTAAGAGTCGACTAACTGGGGACTTCAGAATTGGAGTGTATCTGCCTGAGAGGCAAGGAACCAAAGGTCTGCATAAAAATGTCACATCTATAAAATGGGTGTGCATGCAATACTTAGGTTCTGGAAAAAGACTTTCCCAGGTCGGTTCAAGGGCCCTATTATAGGGAAAACAAGAACAGACCCACTGCCTACCCAAAAGCATGTCCTAAGAGTCGACTAACTGGGAGCTTCTTTTGAAGTCGGAGTGTATCTGCCTGAGAGGCCAGGAACCAACAGTCTGCATACAAATGAGTAAGATATGTCAAATGGACGCACACACAACACTAAGGTTCTGGAACAGGAATGCAGTCCAGAAGTGGTCGAACAACCAGAACTTTCCCCCAGAGTTTACAGCTGGTGTATGCAAAGAAGAAGAAGGAACAAGGCTAAAATCCACAGGTGGACAAACAATCAGAGCTTTTCGCTTGAGTTTACAACTGGAAAAAGTGAAGAAGTTTGTCATAACAGCTGTGATTTTAGTGCTAGCAAAACAATACTAAAATATTGACTGGTCAAGATTTAGGAGCATGATTGTATATGTAAATCGCCACGGTAACTAAAATGACAACTATCAAAAACTCAAAACCAGGCTGCAGGTGAAATATAAAGATAGAAAGAACTGTGGCAACAGGTATTGCAGATGTAATGACAAACAGTCTGACAATGTTCGTGCTGTGTTTCATGATCAGGGACATCACCAGTCCATTCACAGCCTGTTGGATACAAGAATTTTAAAAATATTAGTAAATAGATGCACACACATTCAAAAAAGACAGTTCAAAAAAAGGCTTATTTCAAATCAATCAATCTGTCAGCAGGTCCTTTACAGAACGTGGCTTTGGCCACAAATCACCCGAAAGTCTCTTTTTCACTAGCCAATTCTCCAGCTCCGTGTGTTTTCCTAGCCAATGCATTTACAATGTACTGTATCTAACTCTGCAGTCTGCCTCTGCCCCCCCCCCCTTTTTCGATGTTTAACATGGCCAAAATACCTCTGCTTCTGAGACAGGATGCTGTTTATGAGCCAGTTATCCTCAATGTTCAGATAATTTATATCTCAAATAGCTTACATAAAGAGGCAATTATTAAAAACAGAGAGTTGGTTCCTTATATCTCAGGCAGATGCACTCCAGCTTTGAAGGATCTAGACCATTATTTGCATACATCCATTGCCACTCTATAGGTGATGTGTGATAAACATCATGCCAACTTCCTTTACTTCCAAGCACAATTCCTCCTACCCCTTTTAGGCTGAGTTGACCTGAAGGCCCAGGTCAATTATTTAATTAAAAAAATATCACCTCCATATGGTTTTGAACCCAAGACCTTCAGGAAGTGTCCACCACACTGGGCTTCCATCGATGATGAACTGCATTTCTAGTGTTAGCAATTCTGAGTGCTGCCTTATGCATTTAATGTACATGTATGCTGCTAGATTTGCTAAGACTGCAGTCTGTGTCAATTACTTTTAAGAAGGAACAATGACGGACATTCTGTGTGGTTTTCTTTGGCACAGGAACGGAGCAACTATGGGGTCACCCGTTTGTTATGAAGCTGGAGCAGTGATTACCTGATTACCTTACATGATTACCAGAATCCTGGATCAGCTCTATGTAATACCATGTGGTCAAGCCACCTAAGTATTTATATCCATGCTTCTGTATTGTCAACTTATACTTACATTACATATTTATGTTATAAGCATGTACCATGCTTAACAGATTTTAAAAAAAAGTGGTTTGTGAAATATGAGTGTTTGGAAGGGCTCAGTGTTAAGTTAGGCCTGAGTGCCCAGTTTTTGACCCTAATAAAACAAAGTTTGGCTAGTCTCTTTGTTTTACTCTGGCTCTTTTCGCACCAAAATTGCCAGCTCTCACAACATTTTCAAATGTATATCTTGTCATAATACGTGCAAAAATTCTTAACTCTGTACATGTGGTTTCTCTCTCTCTCTCTTTTTAAAAACCCAATAACTACATAAGGATTTCCATAAGTGCTTCAAACTCCTTTAATAAATAACACAGCAGAAATCTCAGCACAGTGTACAGACTAAGTAGTTGATGGTTTATACAATGGAGTCACCTTTATTTTTGTTCCGGGACACGCAGGCGTCGATGGAAATGAAAGAGCTGACAGGTTGGCTGGATCCGCTATCACTACCGACGGTCGGCCTATGGATCATGCTGATATTATCAATGCCCTCAGAGAAATGGGAAAGATAGAGGACTTTGGTGGCAGTGAATCCACATCACTCGCCAGAATGGCAGACTTGGGAATTAAGATCGGCACAGCAAAAAAACGAGACGCACACCGGACACGTCAGAAGACTTGTTAATCAACATAGAACTGGTACTATTAGCCATCGGACGTTGGGGTTCATATTGAGGGGAGGATCTGAGCACCTATGGACATTCCCGGAGTGCAATGATGAAAACCCAACTAACTAACTAACTAACAATGGATCAACATCATGGCACAAAGGTAGTAATCCATAAGGGCTCCGTTCTACTTCTAACTCAAGCCTGGGTTCAAAGAATCTCACCACAGTGCACAAACTACACAGCACCGGTGAGGATCCTTAAATATTTGGGGTAGATTTTTGAACTTCAAATTTTGCCCGGTCAGTGCCGTTAGGCTACTTTTTTTAATTTCCAACTGCCAAGGGATTTTTAACGTGCAGAACAATACACACGGACAAAATAGTACTAACAAGAATGTCAAATTGTTTGTATACATGAATCACATATGCCATAAGTACTCTTTTTGTAAGTATATGTTCACATTTATAATTCACCCCGTGCAGCAGAATAGCATGAAGTAAGTGAGTGGACTTTTAACGTATACACTAAAAAGGATACTACAAGTACTTACAATAAGATCCTTTCATAAAATCATTGTATATCATACAGAGCCCACACCACGAATGAAGTTCACTAAATAATTATTCAATGCATCAGTTTCTTTTTCTGTTTTCCCTCTTTAACCGGCATTGACAAGTTGTGTTGTAGTTTACAACTAGGCTGCAATATTGATGCCTTTCTACCCAACACATCCAGTTTCACCAAACTCCTAATTCGTTGTCTTTTATGACATGCTTGTTTGGGAGAGGAGGGCAGTGGGCATATTGTTTTCCAAAAAGATGCCAAAAGCGATGACGAAGAAATGTAAAAGATCTGCTAGCCTTTCCAAAACAATACACCACGATTTGTTACAAGGGAAGAGGATTTAAGGCAGGTCAAGACCTGGATTCAAAATCTAATTGACTGAACGGATCTCAAAACATGAAAACATTCAAATTCAGCAAGTATGATCATTAGAAATGAGGAGGCCTGATCAGTCGACAGTAACTTGGTGAGTGACGACACACAGTGTTAGGGAACTTTAGAGATGTGTGTACTGCTGTATAGAGCAGAAACATGGAGAACTAAAAAACTACAAAGATTCATTAATTAGTGCCTGTAAAAATTAGAGGGAATGAAATGGTATGACAGAATCACTCATGTTGAGCTTTGAGAGAACAAAACAAATTTCAGGGAATCAAGAGATTAGGAAAAGATGTAAGCATTGCACAGGACATACACTGAGAAAAAATGAGAACAAAATAACCAGAAGTGCTTTAAACTGGTACCTCCCCCTGTGGGTTTCGGGGCCCTATTATGGGGAAAACAAGAACAGACCCACTGCCTACCCAAAAGTATGTCATAAGAGTCAACTGATTGGGAGCTTCCTTTGAAGTCGGAGTGCATCCGCCTGAGAGGCAAGGAACCAGCAGTCTGCATAGAAATGAGTCAGATCTGTAAAACGGATGCACACGCAACACTCAGGTTCTGGAATAGGCCTGCAGTCCAGAAGTAGATGAACAACCAGAACTTTCTGCCAGAGTTTACAGCTGGTGAATGCGAAGAAGAAGAAACTGGAACCCACAAGGCAAACAAATAGAGCTAGACTAAAAAAAAAAAAAACACAGAGAAAGGAGTTGAAGAGTAAAGTAAGAAAGACTGAGAAGACACGGGGTAAGCTGCATGCCATAGCAAAAGATCAGATAACTTTGAGTTAGTTAAGCACACATATGTAGACATTTAGATATACACAATAAAACACAATACATTAAGTTAACAACACTGTCACAACAGATACTTACACAGAGATTCAACTAACTAAACAGAAAAATATGTTTTATGTGTAATTTGCATGCAAGGCTTGTGGTGTACAAAGTAAACAAACCTGGCTGACAATTATGGCCCAAGTATAAATGGTGTAGCCATGAAAGAAATCAAGACTCTCATCTGAAAATAATATTACAGTAATTATTTAATCATCATATGTGTAGAACAGCTTGGAAAAAAACACATTTCACAAGATAAAGAATATTCTATGCAGTCTGCCTTTTGGGGTCAGCAAGAGTTCATAAGAGCTATAAAGAGTCAATCCTGTCGTATGGAAGTGAATCACAGACATCGGTCAATTAGTGGGAAATTATGTGGGTGCTGCCGTATGTAAAATAAAGACACCATTTCTGTGTATCTAAGCGTAGTGGGTATATGGTGATAAATCTAAATTTTACAGACAACTCCCACTTGCTGGGTGATGTGGTTAACGTCACGATGACCACCTTTACTTCCTAGGACTTTACCTGGTATCAATTTTAGGCTGGGCTGAGCTGGGAGCCAATGCCATATTTGAAAACAAATCTGACTCAATGTGGATTTGAACCACTGACCTTCAGGTCCAGAGACCGGTGTCTGGCCGCTAAATCAAGGAAGATACAGAGATGAGGTTTTATAAAACAGAAATGATGATAACACCAAGTGAAAAATACAAGTGAAATGAAGGTGTTTTGAATGAAACAAATTTAATGACAAGAACTGATTATCCACACCAGAAGGAGACAATCTACATTCTCTGGCCACACTATAAGAATGGACAATTGAAGTATACTGTGACAACAGGTCAGTTGGAGGGGAACAGAGGCAGAGGGGGGAGACACAAAGAAAAGAGGCTGGACAGAAAGATATCATGGCATGGAAAAACTCTGTCAGAAAGTACATGTGTCAGAAAGTTGTGGACATTTATGATTACCAACACTACACAACATGGACTATACAATAAAGTACCAACAAATATGAGATGCCCACAGATAAACTTGACTGTTTTTAGATTTCTTTATTCCATACAACTGAGCGCAATGTTGACTCACTGGACCAGTATTCCCTTCCTAGTGGGTTGTGCAAAGGACATTCTTGCAGGACATGTTCTGTAGTCTGCACATACAGCCCACATGGGCACAGAGGTGAACCACCTAGACGAAGCCTGTATATATGCTTGTTAAGTTTGTTATGAGCCTGACTTTTTTTCAAAAATGACCTTGGCTCCCAGGTCGACCCAGCCTTGAGTGGGTACCGGGTGCAATCCCGGGAAGTAGAGGCGGCCGCTGTGATGCTGACCGCAAAACCCATCTTGTGCCAATTGGTCTATAAAAAATATAGGTCTAGCCCTATCTGCCCTAAGGCGTGGAGAAGGGTCCTGTACTTTTTTTTACTAAGTTTGTTATGTCCTGTCCTTAGGTGTAGTATAATGACCTGCCCTTGCCGGTCAAGTAAGTGGTCATCATCTCTGACCAGATTCTGTTCACTTCCTATAGAATAGATTGCCCTTTTCTTCTCCAATGCCTCCTTCATTAATAAACTGTTTTCTGAGGAAGATTCTGTTACTTTGACTTGATACTACCAACCGCAAAAACCCTCTAACCATGTCTTTAAATGATACAATAATATTAATCACAAACATACCAGACTGAAACAGCCATACCAGCAGGTTCAATAGAATGCCAAAAGTGTATAAGAAACAGTTCTGAAGTGGTAGGGAAATCTGAAAAATTGAGTATTTTATAAAATAATTGATATAGCAAAAAAATATGGCATACATTACAAGTTCCTTTTGTTCTATACTAATATATACTTATAATTTATACCATGATAAGCTAATGATAAATTTATCCTTTACAATGTGTGCTATGCAATACAACAGAAAAGATAAAATCTTGTAAAGGCAACCCCCCATGTGGGTTCCGGGGCCCCATTGTGGGGAAAACAAGAATAGACCCACTGCCTCCCCAAAAAGCATGTCGTAAGAGTCGACTAATTGGGGAGATTCCTTTGAAGTCGGAGTGCATCTGCCGGAGAGGCAAGGAACCAACAGTCTGTATTCAAGAGAATGAGATCTGTAAAACTGATGCACACGCAACACTCAGGTTCTGGAGCAGGACTGCAGTTCAGTAGTGGACGAGCAACCAGAACCTTCCGCCAGAGTTTACAGCTGGTGAACGCGAAGAAGAAGAAGAAGTAAAGGCAACTATTTAGGCCTTTGGTGAACAAAAACTTTCCAGTGCACCATAGTGCTTGAAATGGCCAGAATATTTCGGTTTCCAAGATATTATGATGTTTACTAGTCAATCCTCCTTGATGTTCAGATCTGTTGAGATGTCAGTATCATTGTCACTCTTACCGCCAAATTTACAATCAATTAAAAAAAAATTGTCTTTTTTTTTTTTTAAATTTTTTTTTTTTAAATATTTCACTACTGCACACTTTTTGTCACTGATGTACCCGGTGTAAAGATTCTTTGCTGTTTCATTTATGCTAGTTTTCACACTTGAGGTTTGAACAATGGATCAACATCATGGCACATGGGTAGTAACCCATAAGTGCTCCGTTCTACTCCTAACTCAAGTCTGAGTCCGAAGAAGCTCAGCGCAGTGCACGGGCTCGGTAGCACCGGCAAGTATCCTGAAATACTTTAGGTAGATTTTTAACTCAAAAATTTTGCCTGGGCAGCCTTTTCGATTCCCACTGCCAAGGAATTTTTTTACGTGTGCAACAATGCACAGGGGCATCAAATCTCACTACCCAGAGACCGGGGGAATTACTAGAAGTCCAAGTCCACATGGAAAAACCCCAGCTCTTACCGGGGATTAAACCAAGAACCTCTAGCAATTGAAAAGCTTTTACCGCAACTGGAATTTGCTGGCATAAAAGAGTACTTCAAAATAAGAAAACCTTAATTCTCTTCAGTTCACTAATTATAAGTATTTCTATGGTGACAAAGTTGCACAACTTTTCTTTCCCACTACCAGCTCTACAACCAGCAAGCTGTGCAATGGTGGTACTGAAACTCACCATCCATGGTAGGGCAAAGTGTTACCAGGTCAAGCTTCAGCACATCACAAAGAGACTGGCTGAGATTAGTCCTTGACTGATTATGAAAAGACTTTGGAGTTTTCCTGGGGAAGTAAAGAGGGCCAGCGTAATGCTGGTTACACTACTTGCCTAGTGCCGATTAGTCTGTAAAACTATGGGTGCTCTTCCCATATGCCTGATGCGCCTAAAGGTTTGAAAAGGGATCTTTACTTACTTACTTCAAGTCAGACTGCATCTGCCTGAGAGTCAAGAAACCAACAGTCTGCATATAAATAAGCCAGATCTATAAAATGGATGTGTGCAAATCTCACATTCTAGAACAAAACAAAAGTGGATAAACAACCTGAACTTTCTGGCAGAGTTTCGAGTCTGTGAACACAAAGAAGAAGAAGAAGAAGAAGCAAACAGGAATCCTAGACGCCTGTTGTAAAGTGACAGAACTAACAATTAAACTATTATACTTCTCTGGTAGACATATTTCAGTGTTTAACAAATTATTTTGGCATTACACATAAACATTTCATGATCTGTTACTGCTTTACCTTCATGTCCCTCTTGAGGATGTACTCTGTGTACACACCAGCAAACCCAGAGACAAAGCAATATACAAAAGCCATAACTAATCCCTGTGGGGTTATATGAATTGTCTGCAAAGACAAAACTTCTTCAGTCAGTCCATTATAGCTGTGAATAAACAAAACAAAAAAACTGATGGCGATTTCACTACACAAAGAAACAACAACAAAACAAAGTAAAGGTCATCGGTCCCATGGTAGATGCTGAAGTGTTAGTGAAGGACAGCATCTTTGTCACACCAGTAGTGAGTGCATCAGGCATATGAGACCAGAATCATATTTGTATAGACCAAGTGGCACTTGTTTAGTGATCACGTAAACATTATGCCAGCCACCTTTACTTCCCAGGATATTAACTGGTGCCCATATTTGGCTGATTTGACTTGGGGGCATAAGTAAGTTTAACAAAAAATTTGTAAAATCCAACCCGATGTGGATTCAAACCCTAGACATTTGGGCCAGCAGGTGAGCGAATAGCCACAATGCTACTATGGCTTCCACTGAAGGGACAGGCACAGATTTTTGTTTTGGTCATAACATGATGAGGGCGGAGGCAGCTCCCTTTCTTTTTATATTTCCTGCCCAAAACAATTACCATAAACTTCTGAAATTTAACAGGTTAAAACTCTTAGGGACCCAGGTCAACCAAGGACTTGAAATTGCAAGGAATCCTTTTCTTCTTGAAAGTTAATTTTACTTAAGAGCTGTTCCCACAGTGGGCAGTACTAAAACCTTCACTCAAGAAGACCCATGTAAAGGACAAATTCAGGTGAAGTTTTTCATCAGCAACATACATAATGCCAAGAAAGTAGTTAGAATTTTAATGTGCGTATGTATGAGAATTCCTGTCTCAGAAATTAAAATATTTTGATCATAGCAAGTGCTATGGTGGATTGAAAAGAAAAGTAGCAAAAAGCATAGTCTCAGGAAAGAAGGGTAGGGGCGACTAGCATAAAGATGGGCAAAAGAATATAAAAGTGACACCCTGGGTAGGAGGGTACACGAGGTAAGCGATCTGGCAGTAGCCAGTTTCTTTTAGGCAGGCTGTAATGAGTGACATTGTGCAAAGGCTCTGCTATATGATAATGATGATGATATATTGAGATGGTAATGTTATGGTATAGGAGGAAAGGGCATGGCAATGAAAAAATATATGGAAATCTTTGACGTAATAGTTTTAAAAAAAAAGTTAATCCGTGATGCTTCACAATCAAGGTCACAGCACACTGAGCATTCCCATGAGTGCTGAGTCCTCTGATGTAGCAGGCACTCCAAGGTACCTCAAATGATTGTTCCCATGAGAAGTAGGTTATAGGGTCTCCTCTTTTTGCCTTGAAGGCGGAACAGACATGCTTTACCAAGCTTTACTCCTTGGTCATGCAATTGTGCTAGAGATTAAGAGATTCAACAATATCCCCCAATCTAGTCCACACAGTGTTTATGATATCAGTTCTGTCCAAGCTTCTTCCAATTTGTACTGGTGTATTACTTGTTAGCCGGTCAGCTTTTTCGTTTAACTTTTACTCCTGCATACCCATGTGTAGATGCAAATGATGGTGGTAAATGCGACTTCTGAATGCTTTCTACTCATTCAAAGCGTAAACTACCTGTTGTGATTTTCTGAAGCCTGATCATGGAGTCTAAAATGATTACTGCATGTGTGGCTGCTTGTTCTGCTACCTATGTGAGTGCACTGGAGGCAGTGATTTTACACTATATTAATAACAATTACATTTCTAAAGATGTTTACATTTTTGATGAACACATTCAGACTCAAATATTCATTAGCTAAAATAATAAATTCTTAGGATATAATGCAATTAAGTAGCATCTAACCAAAATTGAAATAACTAGTGAGAAACTGAGTTTTCAAAACTAAGACAGATTTAGAAATATTCAAATTGTAATTTTACCTGTTGAGACCGCTTGCCAAAGTAAGAAGACCAAGGGAAAGCCATTGTAATGTTCTCAGCCTTCTGTTAAAAGTAAGGTGATGAGCAATTGTGTTACAGAAATAATACATAAATAATGTAACAAACACAGTGTGAACTATTTTCATATCAAGTGGTGCATTTCTAATGCATTGCTGAAAAACATTTTTCTCTTGAGTGATACTTTTATAATTTAAAACAAAAGTATGAAGCGTTTTAATCTTAAGTGAAAAAAATTAAAAAAAAAAAAAATCAACAACAACAGTACACAAATTTTTAATCGCCAAAGAAATATAGTGACATTTAAAGTGACACCCACACTGCGCTGTGTACCTTTTCATAATGATCCTATATAGCAGGGCAGTTGATGCTATTTTCAGATTGCTTAAAACCTGAAAACAGAATAAAGACAATAACAAAAGCAATTTATAAAGATACTGCAGATTAAGCAACCATTTTGTTAAGGTAAATGAAGTAGCAGTATGTTGATCAATGAGAGCCATAGTACTGGAAAATATGACACCAACCTGGCTTTAAAAAAAGCCATTGGGGTAGTAAGGAAACCCTCCTAAATTCATTTTTAGTTAATATAGCATATCCTGACTTAGTGAACACTGCAGAGCTGCATATAGAACCAATGGACAGGTCACTGCAGACAAGGTCATATATTAGCATTTACAGGACTGTGTCAACAACCGGAACTGACTATATTTAGTCTTCTCAGAGTGATAGAGTTAGTGCCATTAACACGTGATTAATTTTTCTGCAGCAGCTGATGAGCCCTTGAGAAGTGCATGCGGAGACCCTAGGGCTCCACAAAGCTCGGTTAGAAACCCCTGGTTTAAAGTGTTATCTAAACATTTAGATAGCTAATAACGAGTTGGCTCACAGGCTCTGATCATCATCATCATCATCATCACCACTGTCATGTTTCAGGCTCCTTGCAGAACACCATTTCCATCAAGACCCTCTTGAAAGCTACATATACCCAAGCCAATTTTCCTGTCTTGTGTACCTTAATGTCTCAGGTGTCTCCAAAATCCTGTGTCCACCATCGTGTTGGTCAAGCCATGCCTCTTCTTTCAGAACCACACTTTCCATTACTGTTCTTGTAAAGGGGATGCAGCAGTGCTGAACCACATGCAGCGGTGCATCAAGAACTAGGGCTTATACTGATAAAGACATATCTACACTTATTCACGGTCATCCTAGAAATAGGTTTTCCCATTGGAAGCCCAGCTAAAATAGGAGGATCTACACTTCCTTCGAAGTTGGACTGTGTCTGCCTGAGAGGCAAGGAACCAATGGTCTGCACACAAATAAGCGAGATCTGTAAAACAAATGTGTCCACAACAATGAAGCCCTGAAATAAGGCTAAAGCCCAGAAGTGGACTTTCTGCTGAAGTTTACCGCTAGTGACTGTTGTGAAGGTGGTAGAAAAAAGATGAAGTCCTTACGAGACCACTTCTGCTTTTAATATGGGGTGGGGGCAGCCGGTGAGGTGAGCTTAGCAATGAGTAAGGGATTCAGGGTCTAATCTCTGCAAGACAAAATAAAAAAGAACAGACAGAAGCAGCAGAAGATGAATCACAGACTATAAAAGACACAAGACACAAATTAACTAGTACTGTCTATTGTACCTGGAATGTAGCTGGGTCCATCTGATCTTGCATAAGCACAGCAAGATTGTTATTGAGGCAATAACAAACAGCCGGTATTGAGAAATGTAGAACATTCTTCAGTTTCACTGGAGGGAACCCATTGCTTCTAACATCTGGCCATGTCATTAGAAGTGCCATGATAAACTATGAATATGTAAGCATATAGATTTGTGTGAATTGAAGGGTAACATTCACACAAAAGTTAATGATGAATAAGATTTTTTTTTAAAGTAATACAAATTACGGCCCTGCTTTCCAGTTCAAATGTAATCAATCAATTGGTTACAGCATCTTGTCTAGGAATGTGAAATACTTTGGTCAGATCAAACACCATGGTGCCTTAGAAAGAACAGTAGCAGAGGGCTTGGTATCAGATAAGAGGGGCAGGGGTCAACCCCTGGGGTCAAGAGACATTTTGGGCAGGAAAATGCGTAAGATGGGAGGGCTGACCCAGTTTCTTTCAAAACTGCTACAACTGACGATGAGGGTGTCCCATAAATGACCATATACTATCGTCTGGAAAGATGCCAATATAAAAGTTTCCCCACATATGAAAAACCCATTTTTTGAAAATGAAAACTGCTGAGGAACACAAATAAGCACTGCTGGAGTTATGCTTGTAATGGCATTGGTGAGATGTTTATTTTCCCCATGTATGGAAACTTATGGAACACCCTGTGCAAGGGATAGCTGCCTCTTGACCTGGTATTCAATTCAAATTCGGAAAGACTAAAAAATATTTATATAGGCTTCCAGGACAACCTGTCTTAAAAACGAGTGGCCAGTGTGATATTTATCACACTACAATTCTTCAAAAATAATTTAGTCTATAAAAATTAAGGGATAGCAGCATGTGCTAAATATGCCACAAGAAAAAAAAACAGGTCTAGTTTGAGAATGGAGGTGGAGGCAGTCACTGCTGCCTTCCACTGGCTCAAGAATGAGCTGTACACACATACTGTGATTGTAACTGAATCACACAGCATGCTGAGAAAGGTGGAGACAGGCATGCTCCATGCAGAGTGGCAAGCATCACTTCACAGTTCAAGGGTACTTAGCATCCTTTGGATATTTTATCTAGGTAACGCCGGTGTGTTGAGAAATAAACAGGCAGATAGATGGCCGGTTCTGCACCACTTGGTGGTGAACTGATATTTGACAAGCCATATGTTGTGAGGTCTTTTAAGAGTGACTGAACAGTGCGGAGGCAAAGATCATTACAGTCTGAGGAGATGGCGCTGCAGGGAGTTACCAGGGGATCTTGTCAATGCTCAACACTCAAGGGAAAAGCGAGACAAATATACAATCAAACAGTTACAGGTACCATCAGAATTGGAACTCTTCGATTGCTGCTGAAGATGCAACAAAGTGCTAATGGAGGTTTCCCGAGTGCTGTGATGTCAATTCCTAATTCTAACATTCAACCACAAGGAATGAAAATAGGACCTCTACTTCCTTTTCAAAACTTTTTCAGTTTTTACGAATCCAACTTTTTCTAACCATCCCCCCCCCCCCAGATTTCTTTGAAAAAGCCCGGTAAAACTGAAGGATACTGTTTTTGGTTGTGACAAATTTTTGCTTCTAACAGATGGTGGCAGTTGCATTTTCCTCCATTTTTAAACTGTAAAGGTATAGTTTTACTACCCAGCTGCTAAGCTGAGTGCATGGTGCAACACTGAGAGCTGTGGATTTCATTTGAATGTTTTTTAACAGTGACAAATGTTGTGTTATCAACTGTAGATTCAGAAAATGGCTAGTGGAGTGTTGCCAAAGAACTGGTGGTGCTCTATGTGGTTGAAAACCGTGTGTGCAACTACTGATCTGTTTGTAATTGCTGCTTCCATCAATGATGAACTGCATTCTAATGTTGGACTGTTTGCATTAGCATTTCTGATGGCTGACAGCTGCCTTGCAATTTTAATACATGTGTATACTAGTGGATATGCTAACTCTGTAAAATTTTTTCCAATAAGGTACAGTGATGGACATTCTGTGTGTTTTTCGCAACTATGGAGTGACTCATTTGTTATGAAGCTGAAATGGAGATTATAAGATTACCAGATTCCTTAGCTTAAAATTAGGTTCTCATGTTGTCATTTATACTTAAACTTTATGTGTAGTTACAATTCCTTGTAATTTTTGTAATATTTGTTGAAGTCTGTACATATAGGCACAATCAGCATGTTGCAAAATGAGCTTAGGATGTGAGCGTAGTCCGGAAGGTTGGTCTAAATGAAACAGTTCTTGTTTTATATTAATTTAAGATCATACTGACATCAAAAAGAAGAAATTCTCAGAGGTTTAAGAAAAGGAATACTTATTTTCAAAAAATGAAACAAGTGAAATGCAAGGTTTTTAATTTAAGATAGTGAGCAGTTAAAGGTGATATGTGCAGTATGGTACAGGACCCTTTTCATACAAGTGGCACATCAAACATACTGTGCTTAATGTATATTTTTTTAATCGACCAAGTGGAAATTGATGGATCATAAGGTCAACAGCTCACTGGCTGCTTTTACCTCCCAGAATATTTCCTGGTATTTATTCTAGGCTGAGTGGAAATGGCAGCCAAGGCAAATTTTTTTTAAAAATAATCGAATGAACCCAGTGTGGATCTGTACCCAAAATACTGGTCCAGCAGATGAGCATCTAGCGAATACGCCACTGGGGCTCCCAGTTCTAGGAAACAGGGGATTTAATTAAATTCTTACCTTTAATACTTCTGTACTAAGCACTAGTGATGATGACTGGTACTGAACATCTCCTTCTAGGCGACTCAGGTTGACAAAAATGCCATAGGAGCTGTATATGAAAACCCTGGCGGGAAAAAAAGAAACCTAAATATATCTTGAGTCAGGGTTCCTTCCTCATTTGGTCATAGTGAAACAAATTCAAAGGGTCCATGATACCACTTTAAGTTAAATAAAGAAGGAGAAACCTCAACTTTAAGATGCAATCCAACCAGGAAAGCTAACCAGGTCAACAAATGCCTGCAGAAGTTAGATGTGTCAGCCGAAAGGCACAAATATTGTAGCCATGCTGTAAACGGGCGCAATGCAGTTACATTTTTAGATGAACGCAGAAGAAGAAGAAAAAGAAATGCAATCCTTTTTATGACTATAATATTTATAAATAAGTTATTCAGCACACCTTCGCAAATAAGAGAGGTTCTCAAGTCTTAGCTGAGAACCACTTTTTAAGTGATATCACAACAGGACATAATGTCAAGTCATCAAATGTCTCTTCTTCTTTTGCCTTTGATCTTCAAAAAATCTTCTACAATCAGCTCATGGCAAACCATTTACGGACTTACTAAACAGTTTTGAATAGATAGCAGATGCTACAGAATGAACATCACCCATGTGTTGAAAGGATCATATGAGAAGCTGGAGATTCCCTTGTAGGTTGGTCATATAAGCCCCTATTTTGGGGGGAAAAGAATAGACCCACTGCCTTCCCAACAAGCATGTAATAGGAGTTGATTATCTGGGGCATTCTTTAAAGTCAGAGTGCATTTGCCTAGGAGGCAAAGAACCAACAGTCTGCATACAATACGAATAAGCCAGATCTGTAAAACAGATGTTCTTGCAACACTGAGGTTCCGGAACAAGACCTGATTCAGGAGATGAATGAAAACACAGAACTTTCCGCCGGAGTTTACAGCCGGTGAATACACAGAAGAATAACAATAAGACTTATATTACCTTGTTGTAACCATCTGTAACCTCTTATGACAAACTTACTCTGTAACTAAAATCAGCGGCCATATAATTTTGCTGTCCAGCACAGTCTGAATGCTGAAGTGATGAGATCTGTCTACTAGGGGCAGAAGGGGAAACTGGTGAGAGATAAGAATATAAACGTGATTACAACCATGTTAAAGCGTAACCAGCCATATTATTATTACAGCAAAGCCTTGTTAAAATGAACTCATTTAAGAACACTCATTTAACAAGAACAACGTTTTGGTCCCATCAGGGATGTATTATTATAATTATTATTATTATTATTATTAGTCTACGGTTAGCATGAATTAAAAAATTTTTATTTTAACAAGAAACCGTAATTATTTGGTCCCTTGGAACTTGTAACATGGCATACTGTTACACCACTCTCTACATTCTCTTCCTAATGTGATAATGACCTTACGGAAACTGCTGTTGTTTTATTCCAATCAACCCATTCCTGCCCCCTTTGCATTTGCTAGACTGAGGCAACCAGCCCGATGGCATCTTCAGCTAATGCTATCCACGACTCTCATCTTTTCTATCAGTCTCTTCCAAAGATCTGTTAGATTGCCATGAAGAGAATGTCTTTCGACATTAGTAACTCGCATGTAGGCCTTGACTTGTGCCTGTGACAGCCTAGACTTTACACTGATGTCAGCCCAAGCATATACCACATTTTTCTTATTAGTGCATCTCATGTGCACTCCAAGACAATTCTCATTTCTTCAATCTGAATCTGTTCAGGTGTTGCACACTGTGAAGCGCATAGCGTTAAAAATTCCTAGGCCATAATCAATTACTGAAAGGATCAGAAGGTTGAACAATAAGACCAATAGTCTCTGCTCCATGTGTGTCACCACGATCATCTTCAGTTACCGCCAGGGTATGCTTTCATTAGATCACCGCCTATTCCACGTGATATATGACAGAACGTAATATACTTATATGACAGACTGCGATCAAATGTCAAACCCAAGGAATTTAACCTGTCTCTTCTTTTGAAATGTATACCCTTCATGGATATGCTAGGCAGGTCTTGCTTTCCAATGGAGTTGTTTAGGGAGCAAAACAAAACACTGGCTTTCTCAGGATTCACTTTTGGCTCAGTCAAATCTGCAATGTATTCACTGCTACCTGCAGGAATATTATGCTGCAAGGTCTCAGTAACTTCAAACAGGCAACTCTGATACCACAGTCCAATTGACAGAAGAACAATCTTTTCCCAAACTGCTCAGTGCAGGGATGGAAACTTGGTAAACACTGAGGATTACATTGTGACACAATTTTGCTAACCTCTAAGCCAGTGATTCCCAAACTGTGTGCCCCGGCGAGCCGCGACCTCTTCACAGGGGATTCTCACAATATTTGAAGATACACAATTAAAAAATTTTTTTTTAATCTATTATATCAGCATAGTCATACTTATACTTAGGTTAGGGTGCCGTGGACAAATTTTAAAATGAAAAAAGCCGCCACGACTTAGAAAACTTCGGGAAACACTGCTCTACGCTACAGAACTGTATACAAAGCAATTAGAGAAGAAAAAACATTTTTATGTAATTTTGTTTGTTTGTTTGACTGCTTGACTAAAATCTAAACACTAAAAAAAAAAAACTATTAGGGGTTTGCTGAAATCGGATATGTTGAACCTAGCTGTAAACCACAAACAATACAAAGAAGAAGTACCTGGTCACATGAAGACAAACTGTTGGCTAAAGAACACAATGAAGATAAATTACAATTAAAATTCTGTGTGAAGATGGTGCCTGATGAATAATCAACATGATATTTAACAGTGATCTTGAATTCACACTATGAAGTCAAATAAAGTGAAGGGCTTACTTCCAAAATCAAAATTAAAGATGCATTGGGAAATGGTAAAAAATGTAACCAGTCGCCTCAAGAATGCTAAAAATCATGAGTTATGACCCAATGAGAATTCTCAAAAGAAATTCTGTAAAAATTATAATATTTTTTTGTTTTTTTTTGTACACAGGTCACTGATAACAGTTTGTAAAACATATTCATCTAAATTGTATAATTATTATTCATATTTAATTTATGGTTTAAAAGGTTTAAACAACGGATCAACATCACAGCACAAGGGTAAGAACCCATAAGTGCTCCGTTCTACTTCTAACTCCAGCCTGAGTCCGAACAATCACAGCGCAGTGCACAAACTTTGTAGCACCTGCGAGGATCCTGAAATACTTAGGGTGGATTTTACTCCCAATTTTGTGCGGGCCCCGCTGTTAGGCATATCTCTTTTCGATTTTCCAACTGCCAAGGTTTTTTTACGTGTGCAACAATACATACGGGCATTCGATCTTACTACCCATAGACCAGGGGAAATTACTACAAGTCAACGTGAAAAAATCCCAGCTTTTACCGGGGCTTGTACCTGGGACCTCCAGCACTCAAGGCGGACGCCCTACCACGAGACCATGTAGCCCCTATTGTTTAAATATATAAGATATATTAAGGACATAATCAATAAACATGAACAGAGTGAAGCATTCAGTGGAATATTCTTTAGGAGCCTAAACAAACATATGTATCGGCAGACTCCTGCTGTGACCCCTATGATACATGACTTGAAACACACTGGAAACTATGATGTCAATTTGGCTTTAAAAGAGACACCAGCTGACTTTACTTCCAATAACATTTCCTTGTACCAATATTTGGGTTGGGTCAACACTGGAGCCTAGGTCATAAAAACAAATTTGTCTCAAGGGAAATTCAAACCTAACACTATCAGACTGACAGTCAAGTATGCTATTACCGTTACACAGTTGCTCCAAAGCCATATTACCGTAAAACACAAATTTAACTCCCTAATTACATTACAGTAAAACAGAATTTAATAGAATGTTTTCAGTCATTTCATTCTTCTTATTTTTTCTATTTAACTCCAAAATCACATTACAGTAAAATAGAAATTAACAGAAAGTTTTCAGTCATTTTATTCTTTTTTTTCTATTTAACTCCAAAATCACATTTCAGAAAAACAGAATTTAACAGAATGTTTTCAGTCATTTCATTCTTCTTATTTTTCATTGTTAGTCTTCCATGACCTTTAGGTTCAGTGATGTAGACAGCACCTGCCTCCTTCAATCATCATAGCTGGTTTCTGTTTTCAGATGCTGACCTTTTAACTGCTTGCAGGTCTACCTTCTAAGACTAAGTAAAGAAAAAAGTAAATTGAGGACCCTTTTCCACACCTTTAGGACATTGACATTATTACTGAACCACCAAGCAAACAAGAAATCCTTAAAGCTATCCACACTTTAAAGAACAACAAAGCACCAGGCAAAGACGAACTGCCAGCAGAACTTCTCAAAGTAGATCCCAACACAACTGCTAGCATTCTAGAACCATTGTTCAAGGATATTTGGAAAAAAGAAGTGTTGCCTGATGACTGGACTGAAGGAAAAATAGTCAAAATCCCCCAAAAAGGAGATTTAACAGACTGCAATAATTGGAGGGGAATTACTCTACTCTCAGTACCAAGCAAAATATTTAGTAAAATCATCATAATGCGGCTTGAAAAAGGAGTAGACAAATGTCTACGAGTGGAACAAGCAGGATTCAGAAAGGGCAGAGGAACAACTGAACACATCTTCGCCATATGTAACATTTTAGAACAATGCAACGAATGGCAGAGAAGTATATATATTAATTTTGTGGACTTTGAGAAAGCTTTTGACAGCGTCCATAGAGACTGTCTGTGGAAAATTTTACGACATTATGGAATTCCAGAAAAAATAGTCAACATAATTGCTCTCTTCTATAAAGACTTTTCCTGCAGTATACAAAATTACAATACATCTTTACCAGTAAAGACGGGTGTAAGACAGGGATGTGTTATGTCATCTCTCCTCTTCAACCTTGTGATTGATTGGATACTAAAGAACACAGTAGACAGGACATTAAGAGGCATTCGATGGACTCCATTCACCATGCTTGAGGACCTTTATTTTGCAGATGATATAGCACTCCTGTCACATAAACATGAATATATACAAGAGAAAAGTAACAGACTAAACTGCACAGCAAAAATGGCAGGACTGAGAATAAATTAAAAAAAAACTAAGATCATGTTAAACAGTCCAAACCAACAAACAGTGACCATAAGTAACCAATCACTTGAAAATGTAGAACATTTCACATATCTTGGCAGTGTGGTGTCCCTACTGGAAGGGACAGAGGAAGACATACAGTCACGTCTGAACAAAGCTAGAGCTGCTTTTGGAAGGATGAGGCAAATCTGGAAATCCAACAATTACTGCAGAGGAACGAAACTCCGACTCCACAAGAGCATCATTTTGCCAGTTCTTCTTTATGGAGCGGAATGCTGGAGAATGACCAAAAAAGATGCACACAAGCTGTCCACCTTCCACCACACATGTCTACGTAGAATTATCAAAATTTTCTGGCCAGATACAATCTCATACACTAAACTACTTCAAGCCACAAACCAAGAAACTTTAGACAGTATGATTACTAAGAGAAGATGGAAATGGCTTGGCCAGGTTATGAGAATGACTTTTGATATACCTGCCAAAACAGCTCTCACATGGACACCAAAGGGAAAGAGAAAACAGGGGCGCCCAAAAACAACATGAAAACGAACAATGGAAAGTGACCTGAGTGCAGCATCTTTGACATGGAAAACTGCACTGAAGATTGCACAGGACAGGAAAGCACGGAAAGTCCTCTCTGAAGCCTCATGTGCCACTAGGCATAACGAGAACTGATGATGATTCCACATCTTTAGGCCTTTTAGGAATATAGGGCTAGGCTAATATTTTATAGACCAATCGGCATTTGGTGGGTGATGTTGTCAACATCATGCCGACCTCCTTTACTTCCCAGGACAGCCCCTGGTACCCACTCAAGGCTAGGTCGACTTTTCGGACTAAGAAAATAAATAAAACCCAGAACAAACACAATCTGGATCAAAGGTATCCTATGCCCAACAACATATGCTAAAACCAAATATTCTTATCTCTTAAAATTATGCTCAAAATTGCATTCTTACCATACTGAAATTGTAGATCAATGTTTCTGTACATGTCTCCTCTGACTGCTTTGAGATTTACTTTAAGCCTGCCATAAGACAATTTTTTTATATTTTTAAACTAC